GACCCTCAGTGATGGAAGCTCACTGACCCTGTGGTGCACTGTCTAACCCAGTTAGCCGTGAACCTGGTCAGATTTGCTTACTGGGGATTCTGGCAACAGACCATCATTCTAACGGGGTTCAATGTCACCATTGGGGGAATGCAGAGACTCTGCCTGCCTTCACCAAGGAGCATCCAGTATCTCTCTGCCCTTGTCCCAGGAGGGCACTGGCAAGGTCTTATGGCATTACTGCTCCCTTCCCTGTTGGCCAGGAAGGCAACGTTGGCATGGCTCAGCCATCACAGGGTTGTTCTGCCAAGCTTGGGCAGTGAGTTCTCTTAATAGAGAGGCTTGCTTTTTTGACTGTTCTTTCCCTCCAGCTCTTTTTCTTGGAGGGCTGATTAGGCTAAAATGGTCAGGGTTTAAATATACCCATCACATCACAGGTTTGGATGGGAGTAGCTTCATCTGTACATGACTGACTTCAATTTAAATGCAAGGCATTACTGATCCGGTTAAGTTGGCTGTTGGAATAGGACCGCACCATTGACCTGGTTAAGTCAGTTGTTGGAATAGGACTGCATCACTGACCCGGTTAAATTGGTAGTTGGAATAGGATGACAGCCCAGTCTATCTTGCATGGTTGTGGTTGGGAAGGGGTGTTAAAATTTGAGGAGAGAGTGCTTTTGTGTTTCCATAAGCTAGGAGAAAGTCAAGATGCAAAGCTCTAGCAAACACATCAATTATGCCTCCTTCCCCAGGTTCATGCGCTAGAGGGGAAGATTGGGGGACAACGGGTTAATAATGTCTTGAACTTCTGCGTCCAAATTTTCCCACGCCCGCCGCCTTCTCACGGCCTGTTTCTCTCTCTCCCTGCAGGACATCTGTGAGGACCCCCACCTCTTTGTGGACGGAATCAGCTCCCACGACTTACACCAGGGGCAGGTGGGAAATTGCTGGTTTGTGGCTGCGTGCTCCGCGCTGGCGTCCAGGGAGGCCTTGTGGCAGAAGGTAACAACAGGCTTGGAAAAACCAATCTCCTTGGCTCCCGTGGCTGTGCTGACACAACGTGCTTAACCGTGGTGTGATCTGGGCCTGTATTTGCACAGCGAGTGATGGGTCATCTTACCTCCTCCATAAAGGAGGCTGGTGCAGACCTAGCCCGTTCTGTGACGGCGTGCTTCCACGTATTGCGCAAATCCCAGAAAAAATGCAGTTCTTAGTAGAGGGTGAGGGGTGGGTAGGGACAGAGGTGAATTTGTTCTCTTGTACCTCAGTTTTTTATTTCTCAAGGACTTCACTCAAAATGCAGAGCATCAATATAATGCAAACCAAAATGCAGCCATATTTTGCTATGGTATGCCCTCTTCCAAACATGCATAGTTTTTCAGGCACTTTCTCCCTGTGGGATGCAATCTGGTACTCTTTTCCTGGTTGGAAAGCGTGATGGAAAAAATGTGGATATTGATGAATCGTTGTATTGCCGTTTGCCTGTCCATTGAGGACAATAGGATGAGAGAAATTTGCTTTATAGCGTTCCCTTCCTGGAGAGAAGTATCGCCTTCTAGTGGAGGCCTGGTGGATTTCGATCTGTGCAAAACGCTGTACAATTTGTGCTTCTGAATAAACAGGTATAGAGACAGGCAGGCAGGCAGGCGGGTAGGCAAGTAATGTTTGACTGGACTGTGAGAATTATGTCTGTGTTGTGAGAAACTCTCTGCTCCCGCCCCTCACCAGGGATGTTGTGAAGATGCGGAGTTACGGAGGGTGTGCATTTAACGGTTTGCAGTGATTTAATGTAGTGATTTAAGTTTGTTCTTTTAAAACGGATTGGCGTTTTTGCACGTACTACAGCCGCAACCTGCGTGGACTTTTGTCTGTGTGAGCTTTCTATAGGAACGGCACACTCTTTTTGAACGTTGTGGTTCTTTTCAGCGGCAGCTCTGGGCGTTTTCTTTTTCTCCTTGAAGATGGAAAAGGCATACGGGTCTCTAGAAGGCAGCTGCTATCGAGCGTACTCAGCCTTCCCCAATGTGGTGCTTAAACCATATGTGCAGTCTTTAGAATTCCCAGAATCCCCTGCGAGCATGGCCCCTGGAGAATTCTGGGAGTTGTCATTCATTCTGAGACACCCAGAGGACAGCAGAGAAAGTTGGCGTAGGTGATACTGGAGTAATTCACAAAGGACAGGTCAGCTTTTGCTGTATTTGTTAATGGGGTGGGTGGTTTCTCCTACGTAGTTATTTATTTAACTGTACTTGCAACCTGCCCCATTCCCTCAGGACTCTGGGTAGTGTACAGCATCAAACAACTCCTTCTCCTTCTCCTCCCCCTCCTCCTTCTCTCTTCCTTCTCCTTCTCTTTCTCCTCCTCCTCCCCCTCCTCCTTTCTTCTCCTTCTCCTTCTCCTTCTCCTTCTCTTTCTCCTCCTCCTCCCCCTCCTCCTTTCTCCTCCTTCTCCTTCTCCTCCTCCTCCTCCTCTTCCTCCTCCTCCTCCTCTTCCTCCTCCTCCTCCTCTTCCTCCTCCTCCTCCTCTTCCTCCTCCTCCTCCTCTTCCTCCTCCTCCTCCTCTTCCTCCTCCTCCTCCTCTTCCTCCTCCTCCTCCTCTTCCTCCTCCTCCTCCTCTTCCTCCTCCTCCTCCTCTTCCTCCTCCTCCTCCTCTTCCTCCTCCTCCTCCTCTTCCTCCTCCTCCTCCTCTTCCTCCTCCTCCTCCTCTTCCTCCTCCTCCTCCTCTTCCTCCTCCTCCTCCTCTTCCTCCTCCTCCTCCTCTTCCTCCTCCTCCTCCTCTTCCTCCTCCTCCTCCTCTTCCTCCTCCTCCTCCTCTTCCTCCTCCTCCTCCTCTTCCTCCTCCTCCTCCTCTTCCTCCTCCTCCTCCTCTTCCTCCTCCTCCTCCTCTTCCTCCTCCTCCTCCTCCTTCTCCTTCTCCTTCTCTTTCTCCTCCTCCTCCCCCTCCTCCTTTCTCCTCCTTCTCCTCCTTCTCCTTCTCCTTTTCTTTCTCCTCCTCCTCCTCCTTCTCCTTCTCTTTCTCCTCCTCCTCCCCCTCCTCCTTTCTCCTCCTCCTCCCCCTCCTCCTTTCTCCTTCTCCTTCTCCTTCTCCTTCTTCTCCTTCTCCTTCTCCTTCTCCTTCTCCTTCTTCTCCTTCTCCTTCTCCTTCTCCTTCTTCTCCTTCTCCTCCTCCTCCTCCTCCTTCTTTCTCCTCCTTCTCCTTCTCCTCCTCCTCCTTCTCCTTCTCCTTCTCCTTCTCCTTCTCTTTCCTTCTCCTCCTCCTCCTCCTCCTTCTTTCTCCTCCTTCTCCTTC